TCTTAATTTGGCCATATCTGTTCAGCCTCACGGTACACAAACTATAATCATTATAATTTAACCTACCATTATATCTTCTAGGACACATGTGCTGGAATTCAAAATGAACCACTGGGTACCTGGATATGCGAGGAGTGCCTATCTGCATCAAAAAAAAGGAAAAAAATATCATCTTCAAATTTGTAACCTTTCATGTTAATTACCTGTATGTTAATAATGCATCACTTTGTATATAAGAGAGATGGTACACCAGAATATAATTCAAAACAGATCTTGTTCCAGTAAGTCAAATTATTCAATAATCATGATCAGGTGCCACAGAAATAATGGCTTCTCAATAAGTATATAGCTAAACAGCACAAATTAAATCTGTTGAACTTACTGAGCAATACAAAAAAAGAAAGAAAATGTTGCTTCTCAATTTTGATATAAAAATTAGCTCTAGGGATGGAGTTGTAGAGACCTATATTAGGGCTTCTGTGCTACAGTACACAAAGTCTCATTAGCTAATATGCATAAGTAGGACTTGCAGTTAAGAGTGCTCAATACATTATGTAGAGTGAACTACAACATAATACAATAGGGAATAACTATATTCCCAGTGCAGATAGTGTTCATAAAAATATTTTKAGCGACTATTTCAAAGTTTGTATATCTAATTAAGTCTTCCTTGACGTCATTATCATCAGCATTATTATAAGATTAAACCTTCAAAACTCAAAGAYGCAACAGTACTGAAATACAGGAATATCTCAACAGTTATTTTTTTACTTTAATATGTAGAATCAGTTCAGGCGTCATAGGCACTTTAAAATTGTGCAACATAAATTATGATAAATTATGAGTAYGTGATGTCGATATCAGACTAGCCAAAGCGTGGGGAGCACTAAATCAAATGGATAACATCTGGAAATCAAATCTAYCCGACGATCTGAAAAGGAATTTCTTCAGAGCCACAGTTGGATCCGTCCTCACATATGGCTCTATCTCCTGGACCCTTACCGCCAGTCTGGAGAACAGGCTAGACGGAGCATATACCCGTATGCTTCGCGCTGCGCTAAACAGATCCTGGCGTGATCACCCTACCAACAAGGAGCTATATGGTAACACTCCACCCCTCAGCCAATCTATCAGACGGCACCGACTA